CAGACACACACGGCAGCAATAATCCAATGAATAAGATAAAAAGAATGGGGTAAGTTGCATTTTAGAAAGCTAATCTTATTTTTTACAAACACAGTATAAACGCAAGCGCCCACGACGCATGCACACTCACCCATATGAATGTAGACACGTAAATCCTATTCCTATGAGCGCCTCCGAAAGATTATACCAGTATATTTTGAGATTGACGAAGTCACCATGGATGCCTCGCTGTCGAGGTGTACATCGTCTATGACTGAAAGAATAATTAGCCATAAATACGAGTACCCGTGTAAAATCTAGTATTTGAACCCGGGTGAACTGGTTCCACAATAAGAAATCTAACCAGTTTAGCTACGCTTATGTCGCTTAGAAAACTAATATGATGAGTGGGCTTAAGAATATGTAGCAGCCACATCACTGAAAACCACCCACTTAACCACAACCAGCTCTATGCTACATATAGACTCCCTTTTCACCTATAATATAATAAATTATACTCTTCAAATTTATCTCATAATATAAGAGTTTTTGTAATTCCAATACAATACTTAACCTACGAGTTTTCTGGTTTATTGTACCCATCACTTTTTTACTAGTTTATCCTTCCTACCCATTACTTTCTTACTGGTTTATCCTTCCACCTACAAGTTTTCTACTACTTTATTTCACCACCATAACCTTTACTATGCCCCGTCCTTTTGCTTTTTTTAACTTTTAAAATAAAATATAATCCCTTATATTATAGCAAGGAGGGAGTAGATGATTTTAATAGATTAGAGAACACATTAATTATATATCCAACACTAGAGTTGCAGAAAGAAAAATAAACCACGTGAGAACCATTTGTGAACCAAATATAGACATTTTCTTGTATTTACCAGGGAAGTATATGTAAATATATTGCCAATGTTTTATTAAAGCATGCGCTTAATTTTGTCACCTAGTTAGTAGTATATTGATATATGCTCAATTTTTTTTTTAGAGAAACACAGCAGGGAGCCCCTGCTGTTTGTATTGTAATAAAAAAAGACAGAATATTTAAAAGAAGCAGAACAATATAAATATATGGGGTGAAGATAAAGGGAGTGAGAGGAGAAGGGGTTACAGGGTGTTCTCTCAATTTCAAAAAATTTCAACATAGCCTTCAGTTACAATTCGAAAGCCAATATTTGATTTACTGTAGTACATGATATGAGTTTATGAATTAGCTAATCATGAAAGTATCGGAGTACAGTACACCCAAGATAGTCCATACAAATTTTATTTGCTGTTCACACACAAAGAATATTTGAAATAAAATGATTACAAGGTAGCTAGAGTACTCATAAGTTTCTGTTGTCCTTATTAATCCTAATCAACAGAGCCACATGGCTTGTCCTAGCCATGTAATATGACAGCCATCAGCCATGTGCCTCCCATCATCTGGTCTTTTGTCACCTATTGCAATGTGATCTTGTGCTGAATTCTTCATGATTTAGTTTGGATCTGTTTATGGGGTTGATAGATGGTCTCAGCTAGCTAGTTAGTTATGTATAGTCAGTTATATGTCTGTCACTGGATGGGAAGACATTCTATATATAAGACCAGCTGGCTAATTAGTGTGTACTCTACCATGTGTGCGTTGCCACGTGTCCTCGGCATTCAGAAGTTGCATGTGCTGGATAGATATGGTGGGATATGCAGAGTCAACTGAAGAATGCTAGCCATTGTCATGGTTAAAGTTCAGTAAATTAAATAAATCCACAATTCTTTTGGCGCCCTAAAAGTTTTGTAGAAAGCTTTAAAAGTTTTGTAGATAGATTCAATTGTACATCTGGCCTCCTTTGAAACGCTACAAATTTCTCAAACTTATGAGAAATAAAAATTGGTACTGATGAACATCCTACTCCCGCACTCCAAAGCAGTCTACAGATCACTACTTCAAATAAACGAGTTTTCTATACAATGACCTCTTTAGATTGCATATGGATCATAACTGGTCGCGTCTGCAAAAATCATCCTCTATTTTTGTGTGCGGTTTCTTAAGAGGACCGCACAGAATAATCGATTTCCGCGTGCGGACCTCTTAAGTTCACCACACGCACAAATGAGCCTATTTTTGCAGGCGAACCTCTTAAGTAGGCCACACGCAAAAATACCCCTCTCTCTCTTTTCCCTCTCACTCGCTTCAAAATTTTCACCTCCTCTCTCTTCCTTTCCTTTTATTTTCACTCCTCTCTCTCTTTCTCTCCTCTCTTCGTGTGCTCTCCTCTCCTCTCCTCCGATCGAGCGCGGGGGGGGAGGGTGGGAGGTGGCCGGCTCGGTGCCACTGCCTCTGGAGCAGGCATGGCGGCGGGCTCGAGAGCATCTCAGCAGACGGCATGCGCGCGGTGGCAGGCGCGCGACGGTGGCCGCATGTGGAAGGTGATGGTGACCGGTCCCAACCTGGATCCGGTGGAGACGGAGGCCCCCGCCCGGATTTGGCGGCGGGGGCCGTCCTCCGCCAGGATTAGCGTGGATCCGGCGGCAGGGACGGCCGGCGCGGCGGTGGCGGCTGACGGGCAGGCTCGCGCGCGGGCTGGCGCGGTGGCCGGCGTGCTGTGGGGAGGTGTGGCGGTGCCGGCCAATCCGGCGACAGCGACGACGAGGGCGTCGGTGTCGGCTTCTAAGGTTAGGGTTTCGTATTTTTTGGATTTAATTTTTTTCGGTTTTTTAATTTTGCGTGCAGGGTGCGCCACCCGCACGCCAAAATAGTGATTTTCGCTGACCTTTTGCTGCATGCGGGTTGCCATGCCGCACGCAAAAACCTCTTTCGGACCGCACGGTAAATGGTTTTTAGTACTGCACGGCACGAACTATTTCATTTAAAAATTTTAAACATTTTTCCTTTTTTTAGAAAATTAGAAAAAAAAAACTTTCAAATTTCAGCTCCCGGGTAAATTAATTTGTGCGTGCCAACATAGCATGGTAATTGTAACATTGATTGGTAGACTGAGTGATCTAGCTCAATAATACATATAAATATATATTTTCTAACAAATGCACGATGTAAAATAACTATCATTATTCTCGACAAAGGTTATTACTTGACTAGGCAAAATGATTTTGATATAAATTTCTTGCTCTGAGAATTCGCCTTCCTGTAAGGGCTATTAGCTAGCGATATGGTTTTGCAGTACCATGTGCAAATAACTCAGTGCGGGAAACAACAATACTTCTGATCCCTCCATTTTACTAGATTAGTTGTCGTTCTAGCTTTATCATAAATCAAACATTTCTATATTACGCCGTCAAATTTTAAAATTTTATGTAGTTTAACATTCCGTCAATTAGATATTATGAAATTATTTCTGAAATTAAACTACATAAATTTCTAAAAATTGAAGATCGGAGATACAAAGATCTGACATAGAACAAATCTAGAACATTGAGTAATTTAGAACAGACGGAGTATCTTAAGAAAATGTGTCAACCCTTCTGTACATGCGGAGTAAGGGATCCTCTGATTCAAAGGATTGGTATAGGGTTTTTTAGGATTCACAATCCTACGGATTTTTTTTCATATGTATGCCTTTGATTCGTAGGAAATGAAAGAAAACATTCCTTAGGGTTATATCCCTTACATGAAAATAAGGAAGAGGTCTGTCGTTCGCGCCGTTTTCATGTGTTTGGCGGTAAACTGTGTGCCCCTTTGCGCTTCTTGTGGGAAAAAAAACAGAGGGAGATGGAATGAGAACACCAGGGGTCACATATTAGTATCCAACAAACCAACAGTGATAGAGATATAAAGTAGTGTGAGCCGACTGCCGGCGGCGCAAGGCAGCAAAACCGCCAATTAGCGGTCAGTCATGCGCCCTCCCGCCTACACGGCACAGCCATGCGGCACGCGCGGAGAGGGGGGAGGGGGGGTTGCGTTGAAGGCAACACGTGTCAGTTTTCTCTAGTTTCTTCGTTGTTTTTTCTGATTATTTTTTAGTTTTTCTCGTTTTTTCTTTTTGTTTGTTTTTCTAATATGTATACATAAATATACAAAGTTTATATACATGACTTTTTTTAAAAAAAATTGTACGTATAAATTTTGTATATACGTGTATATATCTTGTATACATCAAATGAGTATATGCATAAAAAAATATATACTTTACATATATATACTTTACCTATATATATATATACACACACACACTTTATAAGTTTATACATACATATATACGTATAGAGATGAGAGAGAGGAGAGGCTAGAGGGGGTCGAACTGACGCGCATCCTCACGCGGCTAGTTGCCCATCAGCTGCCCCCGCAAGGTGGAGGCGAGGCTTGCCGGCTCAAAGCTTGGGTACCTTTTATCTTTTCATGTGTTTTTATTCCCGCAGGATGAAAGAATCAAACTACTTCAGGTTCTGTTCTTTTTCTATCCTACGAATTAAAGAGACCTAAAGTATTATCCCTCCATACCAAAAGTTCAAAAATCTTACCCCCAAAAGAAGCCAAAAGTAATAAAGTTGTATTAACATAACAAAACCCGTCCTCGATCGATCGATTGAACGGATGGTGGCAGACGTACGACAAAATTCCGGCAAGACGAGCAGCCGATCCACTGCGATCGATCGATCGATCGCCCATTGGTCCCGGCCGGTCGGTTCATCAACTACTACTGTTGCCGCTCGCTCTGTGCATATGCCCTACCATGTTCTCTTCCTCCACGTAACGGCGCCATGTCTCTGCTAGCTTAGCTTGCGTTGCCTCCATGTGGATTCAAATCATTCAGTACGCCCAACGACAATCCGGAATCCTCACGTCGCATCTCATCTCTCATCTTTCTTTTTCTAGCTAGCAAGCAGTAGTACCATGTCCCATTGTTTTCTTTCTTTTTTTTTTGAATGCTATTTCGTTCCCTCTCTTGCCGGCAGTAGCTTCCAAATGGAATTCGAATTAAAGCCAATCCGTTAACGATGGCAGATGCGTAATATCGTTCGTGACCCAAGGGCAAACAATCTCCGTCTCCCTCTATAAATAGCCGCTTGCAACACATCGCCATGGCTCCCCCACACCTCACTAGCTCGACCAAGCCGATCCCCTCTCTCGATCACTCTCAACTAATTCTCTCAACCTCAGCTGATCATCGGAGATGGTTCACCGGGCGGCGGCGGACGGCGCGCGGCGGCGGCTGCGGCGGCAGCTGTCAATGCCGGGATCAGGGAGGCCGCAGCAGCAGACGAAGGAGGCGTCGGCAGCGCTGGTGCGGCTGCCGTGCAACAAGGGGAAGGCGTCGCGGTTCAAGCGGAGCTGCTTCAGCGAGGAGGACGACGCCGCGTCCGTCGCGTGCGTCGTCTGCGCGCCGTCCCTCCCTCTCATTAATTAGTTAATTAGTCATCACTCTCTCTCTCTCTCTCTATGATCTAGTTGATTAATTAATCAGTCAGTGAATCACACTTGGAGGCTACTGTACTCGCTAGTTTGATCCTCGCAGCTGGTAATCTTGTAGTGGCATTAATTAATGTGCGTGTGTGTTTGTGTATGTGTTGCGGTAATTAAATGGTGATATATATAATTCGTCCTGTCCGTCGAATCCTCGCCCTTTTCTATATTTGACGTTGGTCAGTCATGCAAGGAGTATTATTTTGTCTTCACTAGTTAACTTTCTCCGTGACAAAAAATTCTCAACCAAGAAAGGGATAAGACTTCTCTGGTAAGATTTGTTATACTATGAGAGGTCACATTCTTTTTTAGATTGATTTTTTTTTTGACTGAGAGGGTATATAAAAATGTACATGATGGTGTTAACTTGAAGCAAGAGGCAAATATGGTTTTCCATTCAAAGGAATATCATCCCAAGCTAAGTGCAAGCTAGCCAGCGCAGTACACTGGCGAGTGGGCCATCCTACGCCGGAATTGAGCCGGAGTTTGGTTGCCTGGACCGAGATAGGCAAGAAACAGGATTGCCCTGGTTTAGGACTTTGGCCCAATTAGAGGAGAAAATGAATAAGACAATTTTTTTTTGTGGAATTCGCAATATTCGAAATCTCTATCTCTACTGTTATAAAAATTAAAGATATTTTTACCGGTACTTTGGTACGTCATCCGTGTATGAGTCGGTTTTTAAGTTCGTTCGCTTTTGAAAATACATGTCCATATTTGAGTCAGTTTTTAAATTCGTTCGTTTTTGAAAATACAGAAGGAGTCGTATAAGAAATCTCTTTAAAAAAACTCGTATGCTTATTTGTAACGATCAGACTCCTAACCACAGCTCATGATTTAAAAAAAATACATCAAAGCGAATTGCCACAATGAATTTCACCTTAGTTAAACCATTTAACAATAATAAAATTAAAATAGCCTTCACCCGTTGCAACGCACGTGCATTTTTTCTAGTAGAAATAAAATATTTGTGAAATGTGTCAGGTTTAAACTTCCATGAAAAATTATATTTGTTTTGCAGAAAATAGAAGGAACTCTTCATAAATAATGTTAGCATTTCACAAACTTAAATTTATACTATGATACAGTGGAGCCGACCTAGGATTTTGAGGTTGCCCTTCGACAACTAGATCGCAAAACCGATTCAAAATCCATAGCCGTATTTTTTTTACAACTGAAAGTCTAATACTTGGCATGTGCAAATTGCCAAAGTAGATCATCAAACTTGTGCGGATTGGTTAATTAGAGAAGAGAGGATGGAGCCCGGCCGGCCGGCATAAGAAGATGGATTTATTTGCTTCTTTGGTTGAATAGGCTTTTTTTTCATACACAAACGAATCACATACTCCCTCCGTCTTAAAAAAACGAATCTATAACTAGATGTGACATATTCTAGTTCAGTGAATCTGGACAGAGATATGTTCAGATTCGTAGTACTAGAATGAGTCATATCCAGTAGTAGATTGGTTTTTTATGGGACGGAGGGAGTATCGCATATACTAATTTTTTTTATAAAAAACCTTAGGTATACAATGATACCTTTGGATCTAATTGGGCAAGCCCCTATGTTACACAACATTCATCGTTCGTTCTAGCTTCAATTTGTCGGACGGCTGGAACCTACGAAATCACATTTATCTATATACTCCTATGCATCTAGTTAGTGTAGTTTATCATTTCGCCTATCTTTTGTCATGCAATATTATTAGATTAATTATTTATTTATCATAGCTTCTATCATTTTTCTTAACCGTGTTAATAAAGTGGCTGACCTGGCACTACTGGAAAATCATTTTTTTGTGACTGCCCCACAGATTTCGTGATGGCGATGTAAACACAGTCACCAAGAAGACATATCATGACAGGCATTAGAACACCATCACGAAATTGGGTGTTTCGTGACTAGGAAGAGCAGCCAGTCACCGAGTTATAGAGTTGGTGACGGTGCAGTAATATAAAGCCCTCACCATACTGTGTGATGGACTTAAATGGGCCAAGCTGCTCTGCCTCTGTCTGAAATTGTGAACCACTAAAAACAGAGTGCTCTTCTCGTTCCCCATGGCTCTTGCCCTAGTGAGCTCCACGCCTCCACCTCGACGCCGCAACTCTGCTCGTCGATTCGTCGCCGGTAGTGATGCCGGCGAAGGAGCCCGTACATTCTCACCTCACCGTTGGTCTTGCCTCCCTTGCTCTCCTCTCTGACGGGCGTGCCGCCGCTGCTCTCCTCACGGTGGGTTTCGCCGCCGTCCCCGTGTCTTGTCCGTGGGTCGCGTCACCATTGCTCTTCTCGCCGTGAGGTGCGCGATCGCTACTCTACACTCCAGCGACCTGCCTTCTCCTCTATGCTCTCAATCCTTCCACCAGAAATAGTTCCCTCTGTTTTTTCCATAGGGTGACACATAGGTGTTCGATGAAATGCCAATGCAGCGATTTTTGGTTGAATTTATGTCTGAGGCTTTTAAACCAGTAATTTGTCACAATGCTTTTATTAGATGGATGCAAAAATTCTCAGATTTCATTAGATAGTGGTATTAGGATAATTTATGATAAACAATTATGGATAGTTTACTGACCTTGGTTTTTGTACACTAGCTTTTTGGTTCCTTACAACAGTGAGATATTTTACAAGCTGCATTTTTCATGTGTTTGCATCCTCTGAATTGGATTTTAATTCATAGTAAAATATTAAGGCAAGTTGTTTAATGTTCATCTCAATTATAAACATTTGTGTTCCCTTTCCTGTATATGTAGATAATGCACAAATATTGTTCTACTACTTGCAGGTGTACTGAAATTATACTTCATTTTTCTCGTATACTTGTCAGTGTTGTGTACTTTTGAAAAAATCAGCTAACTTTTAGTTAAAATTCCATATTGTTTGTTAGAGTTCTAAATTCTTCTAATTTTACACTTTATAGGATCCTACAGCGAGTTTACTGCAGATCAATGACATCACCTGAAGTATCTGTTGAACATCCACAAGGTAAAACTGAAGAATCATTTGTTCTTTTCATTTTACTTGTCACCATGCAAGTGTTTTCTGAATTATTTTCTGTTCTTTTCTTGTTACCTGCTATCATGCAAGTGTTGTTGTCACTGTCTAACTCTATGCAGATGTTTAGGAGGAGTTGGATAGCTTATAGATGCAGTTACCATTGTGCCTACACAGCTACTAGATGTAATGCATTGTGGGAATTAGATTAATTCTGAACTTCTGCAGTCCATTCTTAAGTTCTATATAGTTTACTGCCTGTGCAACGCATAATGTGGTTTTAATGATTTGTTGCTAGTAAATAGTGGAACAGGACATCTTTAATATGCCTTGGAAGTAATATCTTTTCGCTTTTCCAAAAATACTATGGTTAATTACTTGTTGTGTCATATCTTTAATATGTTTTCCTTTCATTTCTAAAGATGGCTTTTAAATCTAATGTAGACTGTTCTAATCAGTCTGAAGAATGGGACACAGAGGAAGACTGCTGTTTTTGATGCATCAGAACTAGAATTTTGGTGAGTCATTTTTATATTTATCATACTCATTTATATGCTACCATTAATTGGTCATAATTGATTTGATACTAGTCATCTTATGCCAAAATGACCAGCTTTGTATTTAAGAAACTAGAACATACTGAAGGTACCTAATGGCTTGCAAGATTTAAGGAAATTGTCTCTGTTTCTTAAAGATGTCCTGAAACTTAACACATACAAATGTGCTCCCTTGTTATCTGAAGCTACATGGCATGCTTGCGTTCTTTGATCTAGAAATTATTTTTCCTAGATATCTGAAGCTACATGGTATACATGTATTCATTTTATCTTAGATGCTGAAACTCTGCACAGAAATGTGCTTATCCAGTTATCTGACAGCTGCCTGGCGTGTGTTCTTTTTATCTTGGATTCATTATTGAACCTAAACATGGCAAAAATATTGGAGCATTTGCTAAAGGTCCAAGAAAACTATTGTAATTTTGCATGGCTCTAATGACTTCATTCCAGTACAGTGTTTTAATCGGTATGCATGATAAGAGCAATTTACCGATGATTCATCTACTTGATTACCTCATGTGATTAATCTGATTCAAGCTTTTTATAGGCTTTTTTACGGTGTTGACTAGTGATTTCATTTGAATTTGGAGCTATTCAGTAATAATATTAGCTAATAACTAAATTGTAGCTTGCTGTAATCTTCAAGTGACATTCATTGAATTTTAAGGCAACAATTTCAAGTCCAGTGATACAGTTCAACTCAATTTGATGATTCACTTTGATGTACTAATTTGTTTTGAAGAAACTTTCCTAATATATTATATCATATCTTGTAGATAATTGTAGAATTGTTCTTTTATGGAAAGCTCAGAAGACTTCCTTTTTTCACGTGGAGCTTGCTTTATGAGTGGCCACCGAAGGCTGCTTCCCTCTATTCTATGGCATTATATTGGGCTTGTCACTTCAAGAATTGTTGGACTGATACAAGACTTGTGTAGAAATTTGTAGTGCATAATTAAATATTGTTTTTCTATGAATTATGTAAGGACTCACGATGTTCAATGCTAATATATGCTTTTGTGAGTTTGAATTTGGACTTGGGTAAAATAAGTGATTTTGTTGTATTATATCTGAACTCACTTTGTAGCATATGAGATTGATTTACATGAATTTTCATATTAATTACGTGCACATCGCGTGTCTCGTGACAGCCACCCAGTCACGAAAGGTATTTCCTAATGGCAAAAGTCTGTCAAGAAATTGATGTTCTGTGACAGCTACCACCTTCACGAAAAAGTATTCCCAACGGTTAATCAAAACTGTTAGAAAAATGGTCAAAACATGCAAATTGGGGGAATTGCTTTTTCGTGACTGCTTGACAGTCACTTAACAGCTTGTGACTGCTTCCCCTCACCAAATATTAGATTTCGTGACTAATCAAGCGTGACTGACATTTTGTGACAGTATGTGGTAACCAAAGATCTTTGTGACAGGCTTTTGACTTTTCGTGAGAGTGAGGGGCAGTCACGAAAAATCCATTCTCTTGTAGTGTGGTCATAGGATTAATCCATATGCATGTAGTAATTGAGTGAGAAAAAACAAGAAAAACCTGAAAATTGGTAAAAGATAAATAAATTATTAGACTTCTGCATCATGAATCCATAATACTAACTTTAAAGGTGCAAGTGGGTTCAGGGGTCGATCAACGTGCACCCTTAAATAACTTAATTAGAAAATAAAAAAAACCTAAAAAAGTAGAAATTTTTCTTATGCAATCAGCAGCATCAGGAGGCAGGAGCAGTGGTGGTAGTACCTCCAATTCGATCAAGTTGTTGTGTTCTTGTGGTTGGATTATTCGGTTTTTAAGGGGAGTTGTTTCTTTTTTTCTGGTCTGATGAAGCTGCGCGGTCGCTGGTAATGATAAGCTCAGGTAGCTGCGGAAGAAGAAGAGGGGTCGCTAGATTGGCCGGAGGTTGGTTCCGCGGCGGCGCAGTCGGCCAGACTGGGTTGGTGCTCGGTGGGGCTAGCTCTAGATGGCCATAAGGCCCGAAGCTCAACGGCCGGCCCACGGTATGGTATTTTGGCCCGGTCCAAGCACGACACGGCATGATCGGGCTGGCACGGCACGATGGGCCAGCAGGCTAGGCCCGACACACAAAGAATAGGGAGCAAACATAGACATATTATATGCCATGGTTCAGAGAATAAGGACGTGAAATAGACTTATTTTATATATATATATATATATATATATATATATGTCAGCCCAAAGAGGAGAGAGAAAAAATAGACTATTTTAGCTATAGATATGTCACAACCCAACGAGGAGGGAAGAAAAATAGACTTATTTAAAAAAGACACGATGGGCCACCCGTGCTTTCGGGCCGGCACGGCACGGTTCGACTGCTGGTGGGCTGTGCCTAGGCCAAAGGTGCAGCCCATGGGCTGGCACGGCCCGGCACGAAGTGCCGACTGGGCCGTGCTGGCCCGATGGCCGGTGGGCCGTGCCTAGGCCGGGCTGTGCCGGGCGGGCCTTACGGCCATCTATAGGGCTAGCATGTGTTCGTTAGGTGAGACGTTGTCACCGGAGCAACAAGGAGGCGCCATAGAGGGCCTCGCCACTGACCTGGCCGCAGCGATGCGCCCATTCTCGATGATCCCACATCAGTATTGATCGGTTTCGGTTGTCGACGTTGGTGCCGCTGTCGGACGCCTAGTCGGCTATCCACTAGCATGGCAGCACCACGAAGCGTTCCATGCATTCGGCGGTGCCTGTGCAGCGTTCAACGGTGGCAGTGGAGGATGGCCAGGGGCTCTCCCTCTCGATCTCGCCGTCACTGCAGTAGCTGGAGATGGCGAAGCAGGCGGAGGGGCTACGAGTCCGATACGGCGTGCTCTACATCAACTAGCAGGAGCAATAGCAATTAGCAGGAAAAAGGCAGCGGCAGCGGTGTCGGTGCAGAAGCTCCGAATGGCATTGCACGGCCAGGAGATCGCTAGGCGGCTGCGCGCGGGGAGGAGTCACCGGCCGCAGCACGCACGGGGAGGAGCTCTTTGATCGCGGGCTCCTGCTGCCTGGCATGCACGATAGATGGAAAAGAGTAGGGATGGCAGTTTAACCCGTTTGTCCGTTTACCCGTGGATAAAAATCCTAATAGAGTTGGGTTTGTTCTCCATTTAGTACCCATGGGTTTTTTATTGGGTCAAAACCTATACCTAACGGGCATACGAGCACGGGCATAGGTAGTCGCTACTCATGCCTGCTTCGCTCGTTTACCCGCAAAAACCAACTGACATGTGGTCCCTTAGTCAAATTAGTATAAATGCCACCATCTAGTATTGATGAACTTGTAATGCTTGTATTGTTGAACTTGGTACAACTGTACCCTTTCTTTAAATTGTGATAATGTCTCTCTGCTTGTGGAGATTTGTGGTTGAAATGTTGAACTGTGAGTTTGTGACGGGTAAACGGGCATGCCCGTGGGCACATGGCGCCTGTGGGCAACGGGCATGGGTAGTGTTCCTTGCTCGTCATATAGTAACGGGTATACCCGCGGGCATGAATTACCTCGCGGGCATGGATATGGGTAGTCACTACCCGTGCCCGTCGTACCCGACTGCCATCCCTAGAAAAGAGAGAGGTGAGTAAAAAGAGAAAAAAAAAGATTATGACTAACAAGTGGGGTTGTTATTTTTGTTATTTTTTCTTACTGATATGTGGGTCCCACGAGCACCAGTTAGGATAAAACTGCTATTCAAACAACCGAGGGACTCGATTTGCTCTGATTTTCAAATATAGAAGATGCGTTAGATCTGGTATTGTGGTTGAGGGAAGCAATTCAAGCAGGGACAAGAGGTGAGGGAGGTCTAACATACTTATCCTCACACAATAACATGGACATGGGCCTGGCTTCATCGGATGGCCCACAGAGACGTGGATCCAGTTGGTGTTGGTGGTCTGCATGCTTGTCTTGCCTATGCTGGTGTTGGAGGTTGCACGCAAGCTGCTTGCAAGTTGCGAACCATCATCCAACAACTTATATAGTTTAACATCATACTAAATTTCTTTAGATTCACATGAAAAATACTTTCGCAATATGTAATTCACATCTTATCAAACTATACAAATTCAAGAAAATGATGTTAATGTTTAACCGGCAAACCCACATCGCAAGTAATTTATTTGAAATGGAGGGAGCATTAGCTCGTCTTAATCCAATATTGTATCTCCAATAATTAAATACCTTAATGTAGAAGACGCATATGCATCCATATTAATTATGAACCGCACCGCTGTCTATCTTGTTTTGAGTTTGCTCCATCTATCCGTTCCAAAATATAACAAAATATAATAATTTTTAGCACATTATTCATAGTATTCAATCACATCTCATATACTTTAATTTCTTCCTATTTTACCCCATCTATTCCATATTTGCTGAGAGAAAGACTTTTTTTTCTTAATCTCAATATTTGCTAAATAATCTTGTCATCCTTGTATTTCAAAACAGATTTGAGTATTTTGGTAGGAGAACCCTACAAATTGTCTATCATTGACCTAGGAATAATTGTTCTATGTACCTTGGGGGCTAGTTTGGTTATGATCTTTGGTGAAAAATCTGCATTGCATACATTTAGCTCATCGGTCATCTCCGCCATATATATATACCGATGTTTCAACACGAGGCTACTTAACTTTATCACAAAATATTGTATTTCATATAAAATTATATTAACATCAGGGCATGTGGTGCCGTACTATGCTATTCCTATTATTTTTTTTATTGAAATATACTATTCCTACAGCATGTACAACGGTAATTAGTGTGCTAGTCCATAGCATGTCAGTTGATGTGGAGGAAAGAGGATGGGAGGAGTGAGCAAGAAGTACTCCTGGACAAGTGATCTTTTGCCGGATCATGTAAAAATCACATTAGTCTGGTTTCAAATAGGAACCAGCACTAAAGATCAGCTTTAGTCCTGGTTCAAAAGCCCAATGGCACTTTATGATCTTTAGTCACGGTTGTCCCAATACAATAACTGTCAGGCTATGTCAGGTCCCTAACGATCTTTAGTCCTTGTTGATATCACCAACCGGGACTAAATATCTCTCTCCCATGTCCTTATCCTTTCTCTCCCACGCCTCCCTCGATCTCCCACATGTCCTACACGTCCTTATCCTCTCTTGCCTCTATCTCTCTCTCTCTCACCTCGCCTCTCTCTAACTCTCTCTCTCTCTCGCTCTCTCGAGAAGTGGCAGCGGCGGCCGAGCGGCAGAAGCGGCGGTCTCGCCCTCCCCTATGCTAGATCCGGCGGGAGGGGAGGCAGCGGGATGGGAGGCTGTGCGGCGGTGGAGCGACAACGGCTCAACGACGTCAGCACGGCCGTGCGGTAGACGGAGGAAGAAGTTCAGTCTTTTTTTAATTTTTCGAGATTTTGTGATGTATTTTTTTTGAGAATTTGTGATGTGAATATGTAAACTTGTGATGTATTTGATCTGTGGTGTGAATCTGTGATGTTATCTGTGAATCTATGATATGAGGATGTAGGGAGCAACTCGATTTGGGGAAATCAATATGCAAGCAGTAAAAACAATGAACAAAAGAAAAAACCGGGACTAAAGACCACTTGCTGAGCAGTGAAGGGTCGCGTCGGCTGAAGAAAACATATGCTAGAAAAAATTGAGATGGAGGAGGAACAAATAAAGTTAAAATAATGAAAAGTTAGAATAATTGCTACTAGTTAAATATTGTTTTAAACATTATTTAACAGTTGTACTAGATTTGGATGGGCTCGCATAACCACCTTCCAACGGCTGTCCAACTAATCCCATTTTTCCCCCTGTGTTATGTCCTCAAAAGCAAAACTTATAGAGGGGGGCAAAATTATTAATAGCAATACATATTTCACCTATCCTCTACTCCACATGAATATAATACCCCCTCCCCCCCCCCTCTCAACTACTGTACCATTGCATATCCCTCTTCATCTCTTCTAGCATTCCTCTTTCTCCCAACTTCTACTAGACCCTCTTCATCTATTATAGGATGAAATTGAACATGATCTGCAATATCGGTATATGTTTGATTCCTGTATGATTAGAAATGAGCAGTATCAGGAGAACATAAACTCAGC